ATCAGCATCTTACTTGTTGAACTTTATTTTAAATTGACAATAAACCTCTTTCATAGCACTATTTGAAAGTTTCTTTCACATAGAATATTTTTGGTACACATATTTTTAATGATTAACAATGATAAGATTAATTGATAAAATATATAATTTGGTATAATATTTATAAGGCTATAAGTAAATATATATTTCCTATACAAACTCTTAAAGAAAGAAATTATATATATAACTGAATAAACCTACGATTTTTATAATGTATTTAGATTTTAAGGAACAAACTATTTCTAACAGTCTTCACTAATAACGAGTATATATGTCTATAAATTTCACAACAATAGATTCAATGTTTGTTTTAAATCAAATGTCTAATAACAAGACTTTGGTTTTAATACTTAATACTATATCTACAACCTGAAAGTACTGGGTTATAATGGATTATAGCTACACTGAAGTTAAAAAGAAAGCTGCATGGTCTGTTGGAAACGTGATTCAAGAAGAAGAATATCCCTTTAAGGCTGTGTAGAAAAACACACTTAAATGTATAATTTGTTGTCAGGTTGAGATTTTGGCAAAACAAAATTGAAAAATTTGTATTTATGATATTTAAACCACAGATTATTCTAAAAATCACAATTTAACCATTGTCTTTGAATTATATAGAGTAAATACAAATTGTCTCAAGAAAAAATTCTGCAATATTAAATATTTGTTTCCTGTGCTTTCTGATAAACAGAACTCTGAATCACACAATGGTAGAGTTTGTTGATTGATGTCAGTAAATGGGCAAATACTCCTCCTTTTTTATCAGACTATTTTCCGGTTATCATTTTTCTAGGAGATAAACACTGAAGTTGTCATCAGAATTGTGTACTGGTGGCGTTTGTGGCATTATCATCGCCACATCCTGCCTTCGTTTACTGTCTCCGCTGTATGAAGTGCTTCCTTGGCCAAGAATTTTCTCATGCTTCCTTGACCAAGAAATTTTCTCTCAGCATCTGAAGCTTCACAGATCCTGGCATGTCTGGGATGAGGTACATCACCAACCAGGTTGCAAATACAATCAAGTTCTGTAAATCAAGGTGAAATACAGAGAATTAAAACTACTGAAAATTTGAAGAGAATTCAATGAAAAAATGGTCACTATGTCAAAAGTTTTACATTTTAACGAACTTAATTTGAACTGCAGATATTCCGTCTTTGCGTATTGCAGAGGTATCTTCTCTTGTGAGCAGGTATTGATAGTTACGTCATTGGTTTGTGTGAGAAAATTACGTCATTTTCTCAAAAATTGATGACGTTACTCTCACAAACAAGTGACGTAACAATCAATACCTGCTCCCAAGAGAAGATAACTCTGCAATACGCAAAGACGGAATAGAAACATATACAACACAAAGTAACTTTAAAGCTAGAAAATGACATTTAATATTTACAGATCTTTCTTTATTTTATGCTTTTTAAAATCTATTAAGAAATAAAGTTGCTATAGAGCGATGATGACAATAATCTTGGCCTTAATTGACTTTGAAACTATGAAACCTGAGGTATTTGTATACTTAACCTTTGTATAAGGTTTGATATCGAAATCATAGACATAGCAAATACTGTACGCCCCCCACAACCCCCTAAATAAAAAGTTGCTTTGTTTCTGAAACAAATCTCCTTTTTCTCCCCCATTAGACAGAGATATCCACAATTCTGATCAGGGACACATTTTTCTGTCTTACCCTAGGGTAAGGACATCACATAAACACTGCACTGACGTCACGTCAACAATAGTAGACCGCAGAAGATAACTCATTGGGTTTATTCGACGAAAATGCGACCAACACTTGTGTTTCATGCAATCACTTCTAATGTAACGAAAGTGAGAGAAAAATATTTCCTACCCTGGGAGTAAGACAGAGAAATCTCAAACCTCTGGGTAAGATTCTGGAATGTCTGGCAGAGACCCTTGAGCTTAACATTTAATTATCTTAGCCCAGGAGTTGAAATGTTTCTGCCATACCCCCTAGGTGCGGAAATATTCTATTTAGCTGTTGAAGAAGATGGATTAAGCATACCTCAAACACGACAATGAAAGCAAGCCTGGCGGCCAGGATGTGCCAGTAGACCAGCGTAAATGTGTATTCCTCTCCTGTGCCTACTTCTGCATCTCCTACGTAATCTGTGGCTGGTCGACGGTAGTCACAGTATCTAGGCTACAGAATAGATCAATCATCATTTTTTTCATTACTTTCACAGTGAAATAGATTTTTTTTCTTTTTTTCAAAGTCTGTTTTTTTAAGTTGTGATAAATAACAAAATTCTTTACATGAGATTTTTTTTGAACTTATATAAATGTTGTCAAAATTTGAAGAAACAAAAGAATACACAATGAATGAGAATCTTTTTTATGCAAGTTCAATTCTTATAGTTTTATTAGGTAAAGACTTTCTGCATCTCTGATCCGTGGCCCTTAAAATATCTCCAGAGAGTCAGAATA